AAAAAAATCAAAGTGGTAGAGCACTAGCCTTGAGCTGAAGAGCTTGGAGACAGTGCCCAGGCCCAAAGTTCAAGCCCCATGACCAAGAAAAAAGAAAAACTCCAAATAAAAGCAAGTAATTTTACAGTTCCATAAGATGCAAATAAAGGCAGAAATGAAAGACTTCAAAAACTGGGGAAAGTGGAAGCAGAGAGGACTCTTAAAGAGTCAGATAGGCTGAAATAAACACAGATTTATAGTCTCCAATCAAAGGTACTGATTATATCCTCAACTCAAAAATAAATATTGATAAAGCTTTTCCAATATCCAAGGAATACATGCAAAAAAAAGAAAAGAAAAAAATAAGAAAGAACAAACCAACCTAGTCATTTAAAATAGAAACTCATTGGAAAAGCATGAGCATGGATAGAAACATCTATACCACACTCATCCTATTTTTTTTTCTCTTCTCTAGCTACCTACTGGCCAGCTTCTACACGAAGTATGATGCTGCTCATTTCCTCATCAACACTACCTCACTGCTCAGTGTACTGCTGCCTAAGTTACCACAATTCCATGGGGTTCGTCTCTTTGGCATCAACAAATACTGAAGGATGGGCTGAAGACAACTACATAGGCATGGAGAAGGCACTGGAACGAAGACTAACATTTTTTTTTTCACTTCTCCATTCTGAGAACTATAGAACCTTTCCCAAACTCCCAGGAAGCAAAGGAATTAGAAATTGGTGCTCCTGTTAAAGACAAGACTTTGAGTCAGGAAAGGCAGATGAGATTAATGGCCAAATCACCCTGTGTAACAGGATGCCATCCATGTTTGAGCAGCTTTTTCCTTCTCTACCACCTTCTAGTTCTGTTTTGCTGTGTATTTTCCTCATAATAAAAATAATTTTTTTCAGCTGCCACTTTGTCAGCAAGGATAGGGTGATGTCATAATGCCGGGAAGGAAATACAGCACACTGACTTACTTAGAAAATTTTAAATCATTTGTTATCCCTTCTCCTTTGGAATAGTAGGTTTCCTTCACTCTCAGCTAACTTGGCAGAGAAAAGATTCTGAATTGAGAAAAGGGGCTCCCCAACTATGTGGGCAAAGAAGAAAGGGAAGATATAGGTTGCCAGTTATATATTTATAGAAAGATAATCCCCTGGCTTTAAATAGATATGTACATACAAATATGAACAAACTTAAAAAAATACAAACCCTTGGATCACATTGGGGCTTCTGCAAAGTCCCTTTATCCTTCCCCCTCACCCAAGGGTAGAGGGCATGAGTCTGCTTTTTAAAAATTATTAATTTTGGCCATCCTTGCAGCAACAAGCCAGACATGGGTAATCTGCCCACAAGGTGAAAAGTCAGAGGAAAAATTCCATTTCCACTCTTTGAACTCTTATGCCTCTTCACAATTAGGGCTACATGCTTTCTCATTCTCTTTTTGACTAATATCTCAGGTTAAAAGAGGAGGTTCCCCCTAAAATAAAATACACTCAGTTTAAAAGGGGGTGTCATTTGCCCTAAAAGCAAGTAAGACAATCGTTTACTGACCTTAGGGAAATACCCAGTTTTCACACCGTAAAGGAATATACTGTCTAGCCTAGGTCTAGGACCTAGGTTCTTTGCTCTAGCTACCCCCTATTTCTTTGGTATTGTCAGAAGACAAGATTCGGTTCCTAGGTGTTGGGGAGGAGGAAAAGTGGCTTCTTACAAGTACTGAGTGAACAACTGAAGCATAAATTTTTCCCTTTTCGAAATAGTTAAAAATAAAACAAAACAAACTTCATCCTGCGCTATACACAGCCCTTTTGACTCCCTGACATTATTTGAGGAAAGAAGAGAAGGGGTGTCAACGTTGGAAGGGCCTCCTCACTTTCTTCCGCCGCTTGGGTTTGGCTTCTCCCTTGGGTACTGTGCTGTTGGGCTTGGAAGCTGCAGTGGCCCCAGGGCCAGGCTGAGGAGCTGCAAAGAAGTTCCCATTGGACATCTGGCCTGGGGGTACTTGAAAAATCCGGCTCAAGAAATCCTGGAGGTCAGCAGGAGGGGTATCTGGGGTGGTTCTGGTGGGGGGGGGGTGGAAATAAATGAATAAGCCAAGAGATGTTAAGTAATATAGCTACCTAAGATTATACTGAGT